CCAGTCGTGGGACCTGAACTCTGGGCCTGGGAGCTGTCCCTCAGCTCTTCAGCTCAAGGCTAGCGCTCTACCACTTGAGCCACAGCGCCACTTCCGGCTTTTTCTTTTTGCTTATGTGGTGCTGGGGAATCGAACCCAGGGCCTCATGAATACAAGGCGAGCGCTCTACCACTGAGCCACCTTCCCAGCCCCTGGAGTATTATTTCTTAATAGGAGTACTTTCTCTTCTTTCATGGTCCTGCATCAGACATTTATTTTCAAGAGTAACTAGAAATGGGACAGTCACCAAACTCGAAAAGCGAACTCACCCACCCTGACTTATAAAGCATCCATGTTTCCTGATGCATCCTTGGGGGACAGTGGGAGGAGAGGGAGGCCAGAGGGCCTGGTGCCTTTGTTCTAAGACCTGAGAGGAGGCGACTAGAAGCTCTCCCACTGTCGTTGGTCTGTGCCCATCAAGTCTGCACAGGATGCAAGGCTGACAGCACAGGTGAGGAAACTGAGGCTCCATCCCTGGGTCCCAGGTTGCTACAAGGCAAAGCCTTGTAGAGGAGAGCCTAGACCTGCCCATGTTCATTTTGAGCTTTCAGTGCGGCCTCTTTCTTCAGCAGGGGCTGGAACAAAGATGCCAGAGGTTCCATTTCTATCGGTGAGGGCCAGGGGCCGCCACAGCCAGAGGGGAGGTCCTGGGGAAGGAGAAACCTGCCCTGGATCTTGGGGGAAGTCTACCAGAGTCCCCAGGTGTTTCTGTCTTTTTTCAAGGCTGAGGAGGAAGCCGCCAGAGCAGATTTGGTGCAGTCACATTCTTTAGGTTGCTGTGCCCAGAGGCCCCCTGTGGACTGGGACCTGGGAAGGGGACTTGCAGGCAGCTGTGTTGATGCTGAGAATGTCCTAGAGGTTTGTTTGAAAACCTGAATAAACATGTTCCTGATAGACGGAGAACTTCGGCTTCTTAGCCAAACAAGTTGTTGGAGATGATAGATGGTGAATGGATTTGTTAAGTCTGCCCTGGGGCCATAAACTCACTTGGTATTACCCCCCTCTTGCAAAGACCACTGGCTGTGGGTAAGAAGGCCATTTGTGTCTCTCCCACATTGACCCTACCTTCACTGAACACAGCATATGCTTTCCAGAGACTGGTTATGCCATCCCTTAGGTGGGAGCTAAGGGTTGGCAGTTCTGGGCTCAGACACTCAAGCCCACCCCTCCACCTTCCTTGTGCTGGGCTAAGGACCAGGTGGTTCTCCAAGATTGCCTTTGGGAAGTCTGCACCGAGAGAGTAGAGAGGAATGGTGGGAGACACAGAAAAGGGAAAGATGCTCTCCTCCCCTCCCCATGTCCAATCTCATTGTGACAAATGGCCACTGAGCCTTTGGGCTACCGGGAAGGAGATCATAGATCTCACTTGTCTTTCTGCCAAACCCACTTCCCACCCATCAAAACACTATCTTGTTCCCCCCAGGAGAGGACCTGACCCCATCTCCTCTCCTATGGTACTCCAGAGCACTTCCTGCTGAGAGCATTTGAGCTTTCCCTTCCTCTGCCCTTATCTACAAGAATGTCACATGCTGCATTGTGCCCAGGGACACCAGTGTCCCCTAGAGGGATGCCCCACCCTACCCTGTCTCTATTTCCCCAAGCAAACCTGCTCTGTCCTTCTTACTCCCTCCACTCCAGCCACATTGACCTCAGACATTTACTCTGGCTTTTTTTTCCCCTTTCTGCCTGGAGCATTCTTCCTTTAGAGAACAATGTCTCTACCAAGCAGATGTCATGTTCTCAACCCTGTGGGCCGTTCCAATCACCCTGGTTGCTATTCCAATTCCCCTCTTTCCCCTTCCCTATTCCTCATTTTCTACATGTCTGGCATCTTCTGCACCAAGAATACAAGGCTGTTGCCAGCTTTCTGGCCTTCTCTCCCTGTTAGAATTCTAGCTGCATGGTGGCAGGGCTCTGTTCTGATCACTGATATGCTCCCAGTATGTGGCATACAGTAGACACTCAATGATCTTTAACTGAATAAACAAATGGATGACTAAGAACAGATACAATAACCAGTAGCCCCAAAGGTGGAGGGAGGGGGCAGAGGGATGGGACCTAAAGAGACAGGAAGACACCAGAGGGACCAGACCTGGGGCTAGCAGTGGGCATTAATGATTAGGTGCCTTTTGCCCCTCCACTTAGGTTACCAAGCAGATACCAGATCTGGGAACCCCCAGTGGAGGTGGGGTGGGGGTGAGGAAGGGAAGAGTGCAAAGTTCATGCGTGCAGCCCTCTAGGAAGGAGGGTAGCCCTGGGGGACCCAGTGTCTCTGGACAGTTTGTTTTACATGGGTTAAATCTAAGCATCTCAAGTGTACACAGAGATGAGAGAAAAAAAAATAAGGAAAAAAGAGCATTGAACTTCCTGAAAATGCTTTATAATAACATAGGACAATTATCTATAGCAAATACCTTCAAAATTTAAACTCTTGAAACATTTAATTCTTTCGCATTAATACACACAAATGCTGTTATGAGGGGTAGAGAGGAAGGGGGCTGCAGCCCCCATGGAGGGAGTCAGAGTTTCAACAGTGTTACTTATAAATTATATTACATGGGTTTGATTTAGTGGTGGAGGCAGTCCGAGGGTGGGAGGAGCTACAACATGGAATAAACACATTCATACCAGGCTGAGGAATACTGCCAAGGAGACACCACCCACCGCTAGAGCACACGACCAGAAAAAAAAAATGTATAAAGTATTTAGCAAAAGTTACAGAAAAGAAACCAAACAAGCGGGTTTATTTTGTTAGAAAAAAAAAATTCCACTTCCAGAGGGTTTATGGGTGTGCTTGTTGCATCTTACGAAGGGGGAGATGTGTGGCCATCTTCTGCCTCAGGAAGGGAGAGGTGCAGATTTGGGAACCGACCTCTGTCACCCAGGCTGGCTAGTGTCCCTTGTCTGTCTCTGGTCCCCAGAACATCTGGTGAAGAATTTTCAGAGAGGGAAGAGGCTGCAATGGACAAGCCAGCGCACAGAGGGTCCGGATAGAGATGGGGCTAGGGGACAGGGCAATGGGGAGATGGACAGGGTGTGGGTCCCACCTTTCACATCCCACCAGACACTGGCCTTCAAACACAAAAGACCAATGTCCCACCCTTACTCAGAGAGAGAGAGAGTGTGAGTGCCATTATCAGTCCCCTTTCCCCAACCCAACGCATTTCCCAGCCCAGGAGCAGCAGTTCAGTCCCAGCTTCCCCTCCTGCTTCCCCTCGCGCAGCAGGTTTTGGTCTCTCCTTGCAGGCAAGCCCTAATAGAACTGAGGGGAGGAGGGGAGTTTGGAGAGTGCTCCCAGGCTCAATTCAGCCCTGTAAGAGTTTAGGCAGCAGCCCTAGCTGTCACCATGATCCCAGGAACTCTGACTTCTGGGCCCCTGATGTCCACTTGGGTTCGAATCCAAGTTCCCTGTGCAACACGGAGTGGGTTTCCTGCTGCTCTTGCATGGAGCAGGTGATGAGGATCGACACCCAGGTTGGAGGGATGGGTACGGTGGGGGAGGGGGTCATACCACAGTCTGGCTTGGCCTTTGCTGGGTTTGGTTCTGTCTCTTGCTATCACTTCGTGGAGAACAGACACAAGCCAGGCGCAGCGTGAGTGCTCACAAGACCTGTGCGTGGTGGCTCTCTTTTTATCCCTGCCTCGGCTCTTAGGACATAGACCTAAAAGACAACAACTTTTATTTGTGTGTGTGTGGGGGGAGTAGAGGCTCTAGGAGGAACTACCTTATTTTTAACTCAGGAAACTCTGGCGCCCTTTGCGTCTACATGAAGAAGTGTCTGGTTAGGAGGATTTTTGGGTAACTGCACAGCTGTGCAGATGCCACCTGGATTTGCTCTGTATAGAATACAAAGGAGAAATGAAGGGAGAAGACAGAATGTCTCTTTGGGTCCCCTAGGGATCATCTAGAACCAATGCCCTCAGTGGGCAGGTGAATCAATAGATGTAGGGATGGGTCAGCCTGTTTGTGACCCCCCCCCCCATTTCACCACGCTCCTCCCTCTCGCCTGCTACCTCCGCAGCGCTCCATGAGTTCCAAGTCAGTGGGGACTGAATGGAGAACCCAGGAAGGCGTTGATTTTCCTGCTCTGATGGAGAACAACTGAGACCCTGCCTGTTACTTCTCTCCAATCTGTGCTTTCTTCATGGGCCAAAGTGAGCATGAGCCCAAAAAGGCGAGTTCGCCCCTCAAGGAGCACTGGTGGGCACAGAAGCCTGAGAACCGTAGGTTGGATGCAGTTGTGCAAATCAGATGGAGCTCTTAGCAATCTTCAAAGGACTCATTTTTAAACTAAGGAAGCAGTATGGTCCATCCATGCAATGGAATACAACTCAGCTCTAAAGAAGGGAACACATTACTGTCTCACACACACACAACATCATGAGTGATTCAAAGGTTATATCAGAGTGACTATTTATATGGCATTCTAGGAAAGGCAACATTATAGAGTCAGAACCTTGGCAGGGTTGCTGGTCCAGTAAGGTAAGAGGAAGGAATCGACCACAATTTAGATATCAAGGTATCTGGGGGGGACCAACAGAAATATTGTATTGATTTTGGTGGTGGTTAGAAGACCACTTAAGTTTGTCAAAAGTCACTGACTGAATACTTGTGGCAAATTGTATATTAGTTACCCTGGAGAAAGAAGGTAGCAGTGAACTTTGCAGGGGTGGGTAGAACTATGGGAATACGATGGCCAAGCCAACAGGCTGCTCATCTGTCTCCACGTAACAACTATAAAGTGCTTTTCCCTGTCTGCACAGCACGAACAGCTCTCCAGAGTCCTGTCTAAACTCTCCCTGTCAAAGCTCACTCACTGCTGGGAGTAAAATCACCTCCACAAACCAGGGTCTTTGATATCTTTTGAATTTTAATGGCTTATGTCTCCAAGAGGGGACTTTGGCTCAGCCAAGATTTTTTTTTTTATGCTCCCCATCTACTAAATCTAGTCATCGACTGGTTTGTCCACAAGAGAAATAGAAACAAATCCCCGGGGATGAATTTGTACAGTCTGTTCGCTTTGGCAGTTTAATCAGTCCCAATGAATAGTGCAGAGCCTCCTATTCTAGACCTAGGTCAGGAGGTGGTCAAGTGGAAGTAGGAAGGGTGGTGTGACCCACACTTAGCACAGTGATGCATACCGTCCACTGTTCTGTGCATGCTAGTCTTACTCAAAAGCACTAGAGGAAATGAAAGGTAACAAGTAGCTCTGCCTAGCAGTTGTCATGGCAATGACCTCACTTTGAATGCTTTCATCTTCGAGATTTAAAACCAGGCTCCCACAGACAAAGCTTAAGTGCAGCAGGTCTCCCAGGCGGGCACACACAGAAGGCCTTCATCTGTTTTTCTACCTGGACAACGCATGCTCACCCATCCTGAAGAAACCCAAGCCAGATCCTCTCATAGCCTAAGCCCTTCCCTCCCCCCCACCATGAATGAATGCAGTTGAATCAACGCAAGAGAACCCCTGAACACCTAAATTTTCTGCAGAGAGTGTGAAGGTAACTACCAAGATTTCCTTGGAGAAGGAAAGTCTCCATGGATCAAGAGTTTGTGGGCTTCGCAGATGATCCAGCCGTACCTTGTCTTCTTAGCACATTGCCTGACCTTAAGTGAATGCTCAATGAATGAACCAGAGAATGAAGAAAGTAAAACAGAAAGGCCTAGGTGAAGAAGCCGAGGAGAAGATGAGGAGGAGAGAATGTTCTCAGAATGGGCTGGTCTAGACCCAGGCTGCTCAGGCTGAGGCAGAAGATGCAAGGCAGCTCAGAAGGCTCCGGACCCCTCTAGCAGGAATGAGAAGACAATATCACAATTGCCACTTTGCCCTCAAAACAGCTGTGTTATTAAGTACAGAGCCACACTGGCTTTGAGTATTTGGCAAGCATCCATAAATTAGCTCACAAAGCCATACTACAATGACCACGAGCACCCTTTGTAAAATAAAGAAACCAACAAATAATATCCTAAAATTGGTAGCTGGTATATCAGTATATTGGTAGTCTGAGCTCAGCCTAGATCTTCCAAGCAGCTTCCCACCCTTGGTTTTAATGAACCCTTCCTTCATGCTGGTCTCTGTGGTTGGGGATATCTCAATAAGAATCAGGGACAAGGCTTAGTTTGCTTTAGTATGTTAGGTGTCTTTCTAATAGGAACCACCGGGAGAGCAATTCTGATTCAACAGAAAAGGTGGAGAAAGATTCAAGATTCATTAAGTCATTCATTATTAACATGTCAGACAGAGAAAGATCGCACACTGGTGCTGGTAGCATTCTGCCCCCTTGGGGGATGGATGGGCAAAATTCATAGTCATCAATGGGAAAGATGAAGAAAGATGGATCCCTGGGCTTTAGGATGCAGCCAGCATCTGCCTCCCCACCCCTTTGCTCTCTGTGGGACATCTGCCTGGCCCCTCGGCTAATACTTTTAGACTCTTTGAGGGAAAGACGGAAGGGGAAGGGGGTGCTGGGCCCAGGGCTAGAAGCATGTCTGGTTACATGGGACTCAGGACGTTTCGGGGAAGATGAGCAGAGGAAAGGAGGCATAGGGCCCAGCACAGAGCTAGGAGCTGGAGGAGCTGGAGGCCAGGTGGCAGGACACTCCCGAGATGGTTTACGACCTACCGCAGCAGTCCTAAGACAGTCTGATACAAGGAACAGCCATTCCAAACCCTGTCATCTGGGGAATCACAATGATGTGTCCTGACCTGTATCCCTTAGGGGACAGTCCCAGCCTGATGACATCTCTGGGAGGGCGGTGACCAGGCTAGCTCAGGGTGCAGGGGACATGGCTACAGATAGATCCTCGCTAGCCCCTCTGTGCCTGCTGGCCTCTGATGCAAGCCAGGATGTCTCTACCCAGCTGGCTGAGGCCTGGGCAGGGTAGTGGGCCAGGGCAGGGGTAGGAGGCTTTCTTGAGCAGGCTAGCAGGCTGAGCTGATGGGTGGATTGGGGTTTGGGGCTGATGCCTGATCTGCTAGGAACCAGGATTCAACCCATGCTCTGACTTTGGGCTGATGTGCCGAATGAGGTAGTCCTATCCTGCCCTTTCCAGGCAGGCTTGATCTGGGAAGACAGGAGCCAAGTCTCCTTCCCAAGACCCCTGGGGATGAAACGTGACCCGAGAAAAGCCAGATGTGGGCTCCCAGAATGCAATGGGAAAATAGGAGAGGGCTGAAAAAAAAATCTGGATGTGAGCTGTGAGCTGTGAAATGGTGCCTTCTAGCCACGATTCTGACCCTGACATTGGCTGGATCAAGACTTCTCTGGTTTTTCAAAGCCCTAGAGACAAAGGGGCCAGTTGGAGGGTGAGTATTGGGCATCCAGGAGCACCAGCATGGGACAGCCACCCCTGTGGAGCTGAGTTGGGGGCCACAGAGTTCCAGCCTTAGTTTGTTCTCAGAATGACAAGCACAGGGCAGGAGTTGGGGAGGCTTAGTCTTGGAAACAAGGGCAGGGCTGTGGGTCCATCTTCAAGGCCTGGGAATATACTGCCACCTCCCCCACACCCCTATTGGGCCAGGTTGCTTTTCTGGAATCACCAGCTCTTTCCCTTCTCCTCAGTGGACCCTGGAGAACAGACAAGGGGCAGCTCCACCCAGCAGGAGCCACCACCGTTTCTCCATGGGCCCCACCAGCCTCTCTCCCAGGCAGGATCCCCCGGGCTGCGCAGGCAGGTCTAGATCTCCATGTCCACGGGGCGAATGTTGCCCGTTTTGTGCTCTCTGACCCACAGCTCCCTGTCTTTGGCTGGGTCCACTTTTCGAAGCAGTTGGTCCACAGGCTCGACTGTCTGCAAGGGACAGAGAAGAGGGGACACCGTCAGAGGTGGTGGCAATTGAGCTAAGGATGTCTTCCCCAAACCATGCTGCTCTTGCTCAAGCACTGATTTGAGCAGCCTTTCTAGAAGGTTCCATGGCCCCATGGGAGGCCCATCTGAAGGCCACAAGAACTGGATGGAGCCTAGGACAGGTGCTCATTCTGCTTGCCACTCTGCAAATCCGAGGCCTGGATGAGAGGGCAAAAAGCTTTAAAGGATGTGCCCCTGTGGGCTGGGAAGGTGGCTCAGTGGTAGAGTGCTTGCCTTGTGTGCATGAGGCCCTGGGTTCGATTCCTCAGTACAACATAAAAACAGGAAAAGCTGGAAGTGGAGCTGTAGCTCATGTGGTAGAGTGCTAGCCTTAAGCAAAAGAAGTTCAGGGACAGTGCCCAAGTCCTGAGTTCAGACCCCAAGACTGGCAAAAAAGACTCACAGCTGTGACCTTTGCCTCTAGGTGTGTCTTCACACCGGCCAAGAGAATGACTTTAGGTGCTTTGAATACATTTATCAGTTGTAGTTGTTCAGGGTTGCTTCGCTTTTTCCTTCCTTTAAGAAATTCTCCACAGAAATGGAGGGACAGAAGGGTGAACAAAGGCAGCAGTAGTGGTCACTAGACACGATATTGAAAATGAACTATACAACTTGTGGGTGGAGATGGGAAGGAAAAACTGGGAGAGAAGTAAGGGGGGACATTGTCTAAAAAGAAATCTACTCTTTTTTTTTTTTTTGGGTCCCGTTGTGGGGCCTGAACTATGGGCCTGGGCACTGTCCCTCAGCTTTTCAGCTCAAGGCTAGCGCTCTACCACTTGAGCCACAGTGCCACTTCTGGCTTTTTTCTTTTTGCTTATATGGTATTGAGGAATCGAACCCAGGGCCTCATGCGTTGCAAAGCAAGCGCTCTACCACTGAGCCACCTTCCCAGCCCCAGAAATGTACTCTTTACCTGACATATGTAACTGTAACCCTTCTGTACATTACCTTTATAATAACAATAAAATAGTTTTTAAAAGAAAAAAAAAAGGAGAAATTCACCATGGCAGGCAATAACATTTTTAGCTATTTTAACTATTGCAATGGCTCACACAGGGACATCTATGTTCCACCCTAGGATAGATCACAGGGTGGACAGTCCTGGCAAGTAGATCCCAACAGGTCATCTGCAAGCAGCAACAGCTGGTTGCTGCCTACTTTGGGCCAGGTTCATTTGTAGCAGCCTTCTAAGGTGCCATGGCCTGGACCCAGGTGGGTGTCCCCTTAGCCCTTTGTCTCCAGAGGTTCCTGCCGGCCAGGGCCTGGGGGGCGGGGTGGAGGAACACTCACGCTTTGGTTAAACATGTCCGTCTCGTGCCGCAGCTGTGTGTACTGGCAGAGATGTTGCCGGATCATCTCCACTCTCTCCACCTCCAGCCGCTCCAGCTCCTGCCAGGACAGGAAAGACCAGAAACTCCTAAACATATGCCCTAAGTTTAAGGCCTGACCCTTATACAGGTCCCAGACCATCCTGTGCAGGTCTCAGACCATGCTGTGCCTTCCATACAAGACCCTATCTGCTAGCCCTCAATTGTATCTGAGGCTCTGGGATCTGATGGAGAAGAAATCCTTCTCTGGGGTGAAGAAGATTATGGGGACCGACACTACTTTCTCAATGTGAGAGATCTGCCAAATGTAGGATGAAAAGCCTCACACAGATTCCCCCAAATGACCTCATTAGGGTTTCCCTAGGGAGCTTCTGGGATCAGCCCTGTTCTCCTAGCCAGGGGATGATAACATTTTCCCAAAGTGATGAACAACTATGGGAAGGCCAGGCCTTAAACCAGGGGCTGCCGTGTTCTTAATGACGATCGTACATCTGCACAACCCCAGCCCTGATAGGGCAGAGCAACGGAAGACATGTGGGAGCCTCTGGGTGGCTCAGACTCCTTGACCTTGAGCTTCATGCCCATCTTTAGTGCTAGGGGATGGAGCAGAAACCTGGCAGGGAACTCAGAGCAGGCTGGGAGTGGAGCAGCCCAGTGTGGAAGGGAAGAGAAGAGGCTTGTCCTTTCATTTCTAAGTGGTTCCATGTCTTTGGTATGAATTTAGGGGATTAGGCTGTTATGCTGTGCATAACTAGGTCAGAGCCCAGGTGATTAACCAGGAAGGGGAGTAAAGCAGGGGGCTTAATTGGGAGCTTAATATGGAGGAGAACCAGGTCATTGACCTTGGGGAGACCTCTAATCTCCCTGGTGGACTGGCTCCTTAGGGAGGCAGCCACTTGGGCCTGTGTTAGATGGACAGGTGTGGCTGTGGATGGTGACGTGAGAAGGTGAGCAACTGGCACACTGTCTCCTCTCTCATCAGTCACACTTCAATACCCTTTGCGGGCAGGTCCTGGCCAATCAAGAGACACTGCTTCTTATAGAATATTCAGGATTGCACTGGGGAGGCCTACTGTCTTGATCAGAGAGGCCTCCTTACATTCCCCCTTGCTAAGGATCTGTCTGTGGCAGTGGTAGGGGTAGGAGTGAGGTCACTCTACTGCTTGGCTGTTTGTCATAAAAGGGTCTCTATCTGTTCAACTTAGGGAAGTTCTGGATAACCTTAACCCCTCCCCAGTGGACACCCCAAGGAAGTCATATAGCAGGGGTGACAGATGAGGGGTTTCAATGCATGAACAGGCCCAGACTGAGGTCTTAACTCCAACAACTGGAACAGGTCTAGTGATTTCGGTCACCTCCATACCATTCCCTATGCACACCGCCAGCTGTTCAGGGCTCCCTGTGTGCCAGCCTGGGTACTGGCATGCTCCCATATCTCTGGTCACGTACCAAAGTGGTGGTCACCATCTCTTCAAACCACTTGGATTGAGCCTGGTTGTAGAGGTCCACACATCTCATAAGGTCGTCTCCTGGAAAAAAAAAATGGCAGCCATTGCATTCCACCCATTCTCCTCAGGGCTGGTCTTCTACACCTGTGCCCACGTCTACACTCTCTCCTCTCTTCAGGGATGATCCTCCTCACCTGCATCCCCCCAAAAAAATGTAGGAAAAAAGTGACTAGAGAGAAGAATATCTTGGAAAGAAATTCTTTCTATTAGGCTTCCCCCCCAAATGGAGACACATGGAGAAAAACACTAGACAGAAAAATAGAAACAAAAACTAGATGAATAAAGAACAAAAACATCATTTTTTAAAAACAAAGAACAAAATTATTTGAAGTAGTTCTTCAAGTGATAAAGTTCTTGGCTAGCAAGCTTTAGGACCTGAATTCAAACCCCAGTACTGCAAAAAAGAACCAAATTATAAGATAAAATATAACTTTAGTAAAATAGTTATAATTCAGGTAACAGTTCATCTCCCAAGCATAATCTTTGACAATTAGTCAGTAAGAACAAGACCAACCACTCAACAAAAAAATGGGGAGGGAAAAACAAAAGGAAAACACTTTTCTAAATCTGTTTTGAAATGCTCAACTCTGCTCATAGAGAAATGCAGATTAAAAAACAAACTATTATTATTATTATTTTGTGCCAGTCATGGGGCTTGAACTCAGGACCTTGGTGCTATCTCTGAGCTGAGCTATTTTGCTGAAGGCTAATGCTCCATCACTTGAACCACAGCTCCATTTCTGACATGTTTGTGCTTAAATGGAGAGAAAAGTTTCACAGACTTTCCTGCCTGAGCTCTCTTCAAACTGTGATCCTCTGATCTCAGCTGCCTGAGTAGCTTGGATTACAGGCATGAGCCACCAGTGCCTGGCTTCAAAGTATTTTTTTATGCCTATGCCCAATGATTGTCAAGAAGGCAGTGCTAAGCATTTGTGGAACAGATATTCAAAAATATTACCGGTGGGGACCCTCTGTGAAAGTGCTTTGGAAATACTCACTGAACTGAATAAAACCGTTTGAGCCATCTAAATTCTCTCTAAATTCAGATCTTGTCACACACACACACAGAGTTATAGTTATGATAGGTCTCGTTTGTACCTTGCCCTTTGGTAGTCCCAGGGTGGGGCTACATGTGGGGGGGGGGGGAGGAAGGGGGGAGGGGTGTGGGGGGAGTAGAGGGGGAAGGTTATCCCTTCCCTCAGCTCTTTTACATGTGCAATTAAATAAAGTAGTTACTTTAAGTAAAAATTAGGCGTGATATAAATGAATGGATATGTAAGTAGATCTAGAGGAAATTAAGTAGGGCTGTTTCTCAGATATGTTAATTAAAAATTAGTTCAGAAGACAATGTAATGATCCATTCTGAACAACTTAAGTAATATAAAAAATTAAAACGTTAGGAAGCATTTCTGGCAAATAATACTTTGTATTATTGTGGGAGTGTTAAAATATTTAAAATGTTTGCCATGTACCTGCATTGTTTTTGCAATAAGACTATTCACTTTAGTGCTGGTCCTTGGGCTTGAACTCAGGGCCTGGGCTGTGTCCCTTAGCTTTCTTTCCCCCACTCAAGGATGGTGTGTTCTACCACAGCTCTGTTTCTAGCTTTATGCTGGATAATTGGAGATAAAAGTCTCATGGATTTGTCTACCCAGGCTGACTTTGATCCTCAGATTGCAGGTTCCTGAGTCGCTAGGATCACAGGCATAGACACTAGCATGTAGCTTTTTAAAAATAAATAAAACTAACTTAAACCTCTTCTTTCTCTGATCCCCTTCTTATTCCCAAGACCTATATTATGGATTTTAATAATTCTCTGGACCCAGTGACTTATCATTGTGAACTGTCAGATCTATGCAGTAAATGCTTATGCTTATACCACATTTTTTTGGTTGGCTTATTTCTGTTCCATTTGATTTCAAAATGTCTGTAGCGTGGCTGCTTTGTTATATAACAAAATTAATTATAACTCTCACTAGGAGTTAAGATGAAAGGGACCTGAATGTCATCCAAACACTAATTCCATAACACACATCTGAATCCCAGAGATATGTGTTGTCTTTACATGTCATAAAACCCGGCTTCTTTTAGAGACACACACTGAATTGCTTTATCAGTTCTAACCAGCCCTTTCCCTGCTCCTTGTGTACTACATAGTTCATCCATTAGGTGGCAGCAGAAACCAACACACTGCGGGGAATGTGGGTGATTCTGAAGGCTGATTAATCATCCTATCCCTGCTTGGAGAGATGGGCAAGTTCAGGTGTTTTGGGGGTGCACTTCTGTGATCTTAGCAGAGCCAGGACCCTGCACTCTTGGTGCAGGTGGGATGTGTCCACTCTTGGATAGAGAACTAGAGTGGGAAAGCAGAAAGGCCAGGCCAGGAGGCCCTGACCAGGGCCTGGGAACAGCCTGGCCAACTTCCCTTCTACCCCCCACATCTTGTCCTTTAAGATCCCTGGTCACAGACAGGAGAGAAGACAAGGTGCTGGAGGGAGATGAAGGGAAAAAACTGGCACAGAAGAGATGCCAGCTTTCTGAAGGCCCATTTCCAGCCACCCCACTCCCCCGCCACTCCCCGGGGGTAGCAGGGGCCTCACCAGCCTGTGTGGACTTCCTCCTCGCCTTCTTGATGTCCTCTTCTGTCTTGTTGCTCAGCTTGATCTCCAGCTGCTGGGTCTTCATTTCCAGGTCTCTCTGTCTCTCTGTGAGGGCTTTCCGGGCCTGTGGTACAGTGACAGGTCACAGAGCCTGCTGTGTGTGTGTTGGGGGGGCGGGGGGGGGGGGGGGGCGGGGGGGGGGGAGGGCTCCCCCTGCAGGTGAGATCCCAGACATCGCAGCCCCATGGATACCAGCACCACATCCTTCATAAAAATGCCTCATGTGCTCACCAGAATCCCCAGTGCACCTGCAGTCCTCTCCTTGTTCCCACTGGCTCCCAGGGCAGTGATCCCCACCTACCACTTGTATAGAAGAGAGTTCTCTGACCTCCCCACTATCCCGCCATATGGGAACAAAGGTCTCTGGGTAGTACCCAGAACCACAGCTGGCTTTCCCCCAAAGCCTCCGTGTGTGACCCAGCCACTCGGTCCCATCCCTCACCTTCTCCACGGAGGCGTAGCGGCTGGCCAGCTGTTTGCGGAGGTCGGCGATGTGGTGGTCGCACCTTTTCAAGTCTTTCTTGAAGTTCTCCCGGAAGTTCATCAGGGGCTTTTCCACCTCGCTGTGGAGCTGGGGAGGAGGGTGGGAAGGCCGCAGTCAGGCCTGGGCACAGCCGTGGCAGCAGGATGGGCAGCTAGGAGGGAGGGACGCCTCCATCCCTGGCAGGGCAGGAAGGTCTGGGACAGGGGCAGCTATGTAACCTCAGTGTACACATGTCACCGTGGGTCCCAGGCCCACCATTCATATTTTGGAAGAACACAGGTGAGTCTGGAACGTTCCAATTTCCCCCATCACCTAAATGTTTCCTCTTCTAAGTGTCTACAACAGCTGCCTCTCCAAAATCTATCTCTTTTCAATTTCTCTTGCATACGTTTATGGTGTACGACACGCATGCACTGGTAATTGGCTACATCGAGCTAATGACTAACCACTTACTTCTCGAGTGGCTTTGCGTGGTCATGTCTCTCTCTTGTACTTTCGAAACCGGGAATTTCTGGGGACAGGAACTACAGGCACCACTGCCTTCAGCTCAACAAATAGTGATTGAAAGGACTCTGCTTAATTAGGTTAGTGTTAGGTGACAGCCTGGATAATTCCTGCTTACTGTCTTCTCCGGGCCGATGACAGGGACCTGCTCCAAATCTCTAGGAATCTATAGAGGGTGCTTGCTTGGGGCCTGTTGGGAACTCATGAGGGCAAATTCCTAAGCAGTACCCCTGGGAGGTCTTCTCAAGTCAAGGAGCTGGAACCGGGCACAGGTACACTGTCTGTCCCCACCCAAGGAACTGTATTGTGTTCTGAGGGATAGGGGAAGAGACTCCTGCTTTGAGAAGAGTTGGTTGGCACTGAGCTTTTCAGCTTTTGCTCTGCTGGTAGAGGGGCTTGAACTCAGCACTCGGGAGCTAATCCTTTAGCTTTTTCCACTTAAGACTGGAACTCTACCACTTGAGCCACACCTCTACTTCCAGGTTTTCACTGGTTTATTAGAGATAAGAGTTTCACTGACTGTTCTGCCCTGACCTCGAATTGTGATCCTCAGATCTCAGCTTCCTGAGTAGCTAGGGTTACAGGTGGGAGCCACTGATACCTGTTTGCCTTCTCTTCGCCTTTTCTCATCCCACTCCACCTCTTTTTGAGAATATGTTCTTAGGACATTTTTGGGAGGTGTGTTGTTATTGTGAGATGATATTTATTTTATTTTTCATTGATTGTTATTGCTTTTCTATGACATTGACCTTGGGGCCTTGTACTTCCAGAAAGGTACTCTTATCATGTGAGCCAAATCTTCAGCTCCTTTTACCTTCATTATTATTTTTTAAAAATAGAGTCTCCCATTTACTGATGCCGGAGCTGGCCTCAAACCACAATCTTCTCATTCTCAGCCTCCCCAGTAGCTACGAATACAGATGTGACCTTCTGCAATCGGAGATGACAAAATATATTCTTTAAAACAAAAAAAAATCCAAAACCCAAAAACAAAAACTAGATCAATGAAAGGCTGCTCTGATCAAAGCCAGAGGTAGGAGACAGCCTAACACTTGCGTGCTTACTCCTCAGCCTCCCCAAACCCATAGCTCTCTGCTCTCACTCAGCCTGGAATCCTATCCACTCAGCTTTCCAGATCCCCTAACCCAGCTTCCCAGACCCTTGCCCTGGGTCTTGGCCTTCTATAATCTTACTAGCCATCCTCCCTAGGGGTCCCCATCCTAGCCTCCATCCATCCCAAAGGTGCCTGTGATTAGCACCACTCCACCGCTTCAAGTAGGTGCCATTTCAGCTGAGGCTTTGTGACTCCTCTCTCCTCTCCTCTCCTCTCCCCTCCTCTCCCCTCCTCTCTTCTTCTCTCCAGGGTCCTTCTCTCCCTGCCCCTGGAGATGGCTAGCACTGTGTGCTTGTAGGCTAAACCCAGGGCCAGAGGCCACAGCTGGCTTGCCCACTAACTGGGGACAGTGTCTGACCATGTCTACAGCAGGGTAAGATTCCTTCATTCCTTGCAGAGAGTGATGGATGTCTAAGCAGTCCATCCTCAGGGTGGGAAGACCACTGCTTTGGGGGTGACTAACAGGGACAACCTGCTTAGACTGCTGGGTCTTAGAGGCCTGCTGGCCCTCCAGCTGGGGAGCTCCTCCTGCTATGGGTTATAAATGTCTCTTGTCCATTTTGAGCCTCTAGAACGTCCCTTCCATAGGAGAATATCCCCACCTGGTGGTGTTTGTAAGATGTCGCACATGCACCCTTTCCTACCCTCTTGACCGTGTCCCAATTAGGATTCCATGAGATTGCTGGGCTGGGGATACCCAGGAGGGGACCCTGAGGAGATCTGAACCTACATGCTGGCTTTGTCTGGCCATGTGTTGCCTTCTGCCATGTATGACACCATGGGAAAGCTCTTGGCAGACGCCAGGTGTCTTTGATCTTGGACTTTCTCAGATTCCGCCATTGTGATCTAAGTGAACCTCTATTCCTTATCACCTAGCCAGTCCCTGGTGTTCAATTATAGCCAGACATGGCACTACTACACCTCTGTACAGAGACAGAGGAGGCATCTGCTGAGTAGGAGTGGTGGAATTTAGTTGCTATGGGAACCAGCTCCCGACTCCTGGGGCGAGGAGGCTAAATCGGCTGTTGACTCAGAAACTCTAGCTCTCTTTGAAAACCTGGTAAATGAGTGACTGCCAGACCTTCATGAGCCCTTCAGTGACTTGGAAGGATGCCCAGCATGAAGCCCCAGCTCAGGCTCTGTGGCATGAACCCAGTGAATGTAACAAAAGGCTTTCCCCCAATTCCAAATAATGCTCAGGAAGCAATGCTGCCATCTGATGGAGGGGATTTGACTGCACAAGCAATGATGAGAACTCTCAGGCTCAGTCATAAATGTGTGTGTGTGTGTGTGTGTGTGTGTGTGTGTGCATGAGCATGCACATGCACATGCACATGCACATGTGTGTGCTGATACTGGGGTTTAAACTCAAGAGATCCTACTTTCCACTGTTTTGCTCAAGGCTGTCTCTTCCACTTGAGACATGACCCTGTCCCAACATCTTGCTGGTTCATTGGTGATAATCTCATGAATTTGTCTGCCCAAGCTGGCATGCATCCTTGATGTTAAATCTCAGCTTCCTGAGTAGCTAGGATTGTAGGCGTAAGCCATGGTATCCAGTGCGTCTTAAGTACTTTTTGAATATCTAATCTTTTTCTTTAACAAGCTGGCTTGGTAGCTTTTAATACCCATTCTTAGCTTGCAAGAGCTTTTGCTTTCTAGGTACTTAGTCAGAAGTCCCTTCTGACAGTGTGACTCTGTGAGCAGCCTGGCCCAGTACCAGAAGAGCCTGATTCCTTTCCAACCTTCAGCTCTTCTTGTCTTCCACTCCTTTGCAATCATACACCATGAGAGAAGAACAGGAGAAATTCAGAATTGCAGGTGGGATTTCTGACATCCAGCATTGTTAAAACGCTGAGTGATGACTGAGAGCATGGAAGTCACTTTAATGGATCAAGACCAGTTCTTTGGAGAAAAGAGCAGAGCAGACTTGGACAGAAGATAACAGAGCATTTCAGGCAGAGGATTAAGTCCTGGGTCAGGAAATATCCGTTTCTGCCACCTATGTGCATGAATATGTATGAGCAGGCATGGGCGTGACAAGGGTATCGACGTGTGCTGGGGGTGGCCAAGGGCCACTTTCCGTGAGCTTCATGGGACAGTCTAGTCCAAGATTCTCATTTCACACCTGAAGAAATGGAATCTGGCGGCTGCTAAGTGACTTGCCCTAGGTTGCAAAGCTTGTTAGAGACAGCGCTGAGCTAAAACTCTTCATCCTCCCTCCCCTGTCCCTGCAAATCTGACTGCATGCATGGCTTGTATCGCATAATTAAATTTCCAGCCAGCAGCAGGAAAATTTCCAATCCTCCTTCCTTCCGTTGGAGCAAGGTAAAGCTCTTTAGGAATAAAGCAATCTCATCTCTTCAGCCACTTGTTGCGATCAGCAATAGCTTGGTTGGGTAGAGTAGAAAAGCCATAAAGATTGCCGTAACGAAATTACATTTCTTAAAGAGCTTTTACCCCTGACGGCAAACTTGCAGAGCAGAATTTCAATATGTCTTTTGGGGGCAGATCTGAAAACAGCTTTGATGTGTATGTAGCTTCATGATCCAGGGCACATGTGCACATGCACACGCACACAAACACATATCCACGCACACACACATCCTGGGAGTTCCCTTCCTCTTGCCAAGAGGCCACTAGATGGCCAGTAGGGACAATGAGACTAGAAGCAGCAGAAGTTCCCATGGCCAAGTCTGTTGGGGTATTTGGAGATCCTTCTTCATAAGCCTCTGAGTGGATGAATGTGAACTCTACCCTGCTCTGTGAACACTGGTTTAAATGCCTGACCATTTGGGGGACCAGCCTGTACCCCACTGTGGCCACTCCCAGAAGGGCAGAGCATCCCTCAAGAGCCAAGTGTTAACAATTCTGTTTGTGTGGTCTGGGAGTTGGAAGCCAGTGCTCTCCAATGGGAAAGCTGCATCTCCAGCCCCAGGGTCCTGTGTTTTAACCACCACGGTTGCAAAGCTGGCACTGTAGGAAGCAAAGGCCTAGGGGTCAAGTCCTGCACTTGCTGGGCCTTCTGTTACCCGCTCTGTGACTGGGGCCACTCGGTTGTGGGAGAGGGCCTGGGACATCCTCTCTGTCCCTTCTCATTTGTGGAGTGGAGCGGCTGTCTTGTAATGTGGATGATAAAGTCAAGAGATATGAATTCTGTCCTGTCCTGTGCACCTGAGAGCATTTGTGTGTGTGTGTGTGTGTGTGTGTGTGTGTGTGTGTGTGTGTATGTGTGTGTGTGTGTGTGTGTGAGAGAGAGAGAGAGAGAGAGACAGACAGACAGACAGACAGGCAGACAGACAGGACAGACAGACAGGACAGATAGACAGGACAGACAGACAAGACAGACAGACAGGACAGATAGGACATAGTCAGACAGACAGACAGGACAGACAGACAGGACAGGACAGACAGACAAGACAGACAGACAGACCAAGAATGAGCATGTGCTGGTCCCAGGACTTTAACAAAGGATCTAGGCACTCACCCTATTTTTGTTCAAGGCTGGCCCTCTATCTCTTGAGTCACAGCTCATTTCTGGTTATCTGTTGGTTAATTGGAGATGAGTGTCTCTCCGATTTGTTTGCCTGGACTGGCTTCAAACCTTGATCTCCAGATCTCAGCCTCCTGAGTAGCTAGGATCACAGGTGTGAGCCACTAGCAGCTAGCAATGAAAGAACATCTTGCCACCTGTGTTAAAGTCTACATGGTGGTAAATGAGAGGTCCTGGCCATGGGAAGAAAATGCCACCAAACTTTCCCGAAGCTCCTGATCTGGCTTATGGCCCCACTGCGCACAGCAGCAGCCTCCCATTCATCCCCCCAGTCTCTAGCTGGCTATGTCTACCAGCGATGGTGGAGATGGGGAGAAGGGCACTGTTGTGAGCTCAGATAGTGAGAGCTCAGCTTCTCTGGGAACTAGAAAAGTGTTTCATGATCCCCAGCATAGAAATAACCTGTTGGAAGCTACGCAAGAAGTGGGGAGCCCCCTCCCCCAATTTTCACATCTGGCTGTCAGCTCATGGCACAAAAAGTAGCATCCTTTCGAAGCAATGGTGATGGTGTGGGTCTTCCTTCCCACCCCAACTCCTCACAAAGCTCTCTGAGCCACAGCACCACTTCTGGTTTTCTGGTGATTTATTGGAGATGAGAGTCTCATGGGCTTTCCTGCCCAGGCTAGCTTTGAACGGTGATCCTCAGATCTCAGTCTCCTGAGTAGCTAGAATTACAGGTGTGAGCCACCGACGCCCGACTTGGCAATACTTATTACTCCTCTCTTATGAGCTGGGTGCTTCCTTACTTACTGAGATGGAGTAAGAAGGAGCTATACACTCCCTGTCCTCAGAAAAGTCTGCGTGCTAATGTCTTAAAAATCAAATAGAAGGAGTTCACCTACCTGTTCCAAAATTTGTAACAAACCTAACAAAATGAAATGTTTGGTCAGAAAAGGAGGATACTCTAAGGAGAGGAATATAAAGAAGCATCCCTATGTGCACTTGACCATATAAAATATTTATCAAAATGAACTCCAGGAAATGGAAACAAAAATGTTTGGGCAGAGACTAGTGGAAGTAGACTCCAAAAACATAGAGAACACGATCTCTCTTTCTCTCTCTCTCTGTCTCTTTTTTATATACATAATACTGGGGTTTGAACTCAGAGCCTAGGGCTTGCAAGTCAGTAGCCCTACCACAAAGCCAAACCACCAGCACTTGATCTGTTCTTTTGCAAGTTTGGTAAAGACAGAGTGGGGTTCCAGTACGCAGGGGTTTGCCTGAGAAACTGGTATATTTGTCCTTGCCACAAAGGTGCCCTGGGGCTGCTTCCACTGGCTCTCAAGACCTGAATGCTAAACACAGCATTGTTAAATTACATGAACTCGTAACTATCTGGGAGTTGGTGGCTTATGCCTGTAACCCTAGCCACTCAGGAGGCTGAGATCTGAGGATTTTGGGTTGAAGCCAGCCTGGACAGCAGAGTCTGTGAGACTCTTATTTCTAATCAACTACCCAAAAGCTGGAAGTGGAGCTGTGCCTCAAATGGCGGAGCACTAGCTTTGAGTGAAAAAGTAAAGGGACAGAGTCCAGGCACTGAGTTCAAGTCCTAGTACTGACTTGAAAGAAACAAAATAAACATAGAAGCAAAAACTTGTAATTAGATACATAATATGAAACACATAGTAATGCATACCTAGTACTTACACCTTCCTAGGACTACTATACAGTGGATCTGCACAATGGAAACACGATCTAGGGGCATGACTTAATGTGTGTAGCTTAAAATTTGCACTACCAGAAATGGCTAACACTACAAACAAATAGTTCCTAGCTCTGGGTCAGCATGCCCTTGTGTAGGACCAGCCCAAGGCCTAACTAACCCTCAGGATGTGCTTACCTTGGCAGAGAACTTGAGGTGAACTTCAGCCTCATCTGCAAGGCTCTTCTTTACTTGGGCCCAGGCCTCTCCCAGGGAGCTGCAACAGGAAGAAGACTGTGAGGTGTGTGTGTGTGCGTGTGTGTGTGTGTGTGTGTGTTTGTGTGTGTGTGTGTGTCGGGGGTGGGGGGCTCAGAAAGGCTATATTCACCAGGGGTCTGGAGCCACGATCCCCCTTGACAAAGGGCTCAACTTTATGTCTTGACGAAGTCTGTGCTCTTCATCACTATGGACCAGGCAGGATAAGGCAGAGGCCAGGCACAAAACACCCACCAGGCCATACCCAAAGCCAAAATGGGCTCACCTTCTCTTTGGAACTCAGAGAGCAGACAACAACAGCCAGAGAGGTGGCTAGGAAATATCTACAAGACAGTGGGGTGCAGCTCTAATAAAATCCTCAGCTGAAGCCAGAGGTGCAGAGCGGGCACTCGATACCCAGCTAATGACTACAACGGATGCCTTCCTGGCATGCGTCTCCCTCATTTCCCGCCGAAGGTGCACAGGTATTCTGGTAACCCAAGGATTACAGGCAGACCTCTGCTGCTTGGCTCTCAAGAGAGGCACAGGTATAGGGAGAGGCAGTCAGGTATAGGGACTATGCGGGTACAGCTGCATGCAGAGAAGGTTCTAGATCACCATCCTGAGAACGTGGCTTCTCCCCTCAGAGATTCCAGATGCAGTTCTAACTCTGCTAACTGCTCAGCTCACAGCACACAGCATTCTCTCTAAGCAACATCCTGGCTCCACTCCAAGGAGAAAGTTCAGATGGAAGAAACTTCCAGAAATCCTCTAGACTTTCAAAGGGAGGACCCCACTCCTACAAGCTTCATTATTTGGAACTCTAGCCTCACTGATCATTCGAAATACTCTCTCCCTCTCCCCTTATTCCTGACCTCTCCAAACCAGCCAAAGAAAGCCAGGCTGAAAGTTTAGGGGACTTAATTTAATAATAAAAAAAAAAAGCCACCCTGCCCTGGGGGAATTCATTAAACTTGAGTGGCAAAAGCTGATGAAAAGATAGCACGCTGGGATGCATCGAGCTTCCAGACCCAGCAGTGAAGAACAGAGCCCACCAAACAGCCATTGTCCCTCTGATCGCAGTCCAGGTCTGTCTGTCTAGTGTTGACTCTGGACCAGGTGAGTGTTTGTGGATAATGGCTGAGTGATTTTTATCTGAGTCTGGGTTGCAAAGAGAGGTCTCCAGGAGGCTGGGCGCCAGTGGCTCACGCCTGTAATCCTAGCTACTCAGGAAGCTGAGATTTGAGGATCAAGGTTTAAAGCCAGCCTGGGCAGGAAAGTTTGTGAGATCCTTATTTCCAATAAACCATTGGAAAACCGGAAGTGGCGTTATGGCTCAAGCAGTAGAGCTGAAGAGCTGAGGGATAGCACCCAAGCCCAGAGTTCAAGCCCCATGACAGACAAAAAAAAAAAAGAAAGAGAAAGGAAGGAAGGAAGGAAGGAAGGAAGGAAGGAAGGAAGGAAGGAAGGAAGGAAGGAAGGAAGGAAGGAAGGAAGGGAGGGAGGGAGGGAGGGAGGGAAGGAGGGGGAGGGAGGGAGGGAGAGAAGGAAGGAAGGAAGGAAGAAAGAAAAAGAGAAAGAAAGAAGGAAAGAAAGAAAGAGAAAGAAAGAAAGAAAGAAAGAAAGAAAGAAAGAAAGAAAGAAAGAAAGAAAGAAAGTAAGAAAGAAAGAAAGAAAGAAAGAAAGGTCTCTTGGAGAGAGCCCGCAAGAGGAGCTGTGCAGGAGGTGGGGGAGACTGGGGCTCAGTGCTGACATTTGTCTTTGCAATGTTAAGAGGTGGGACCTTTGGGATGAGATTAATGCAGATAATAACAGAGCCCATGATGCATGCTGGCTGGGCATCATACTTGCTTTCCTACCAGGAGATGCCTTTGGCTATGTTATGGTACAGCAAGAGAGCCCCTCAGTTTCGGGAACTGAAATCTCTTTTCTTTATAAATTACCCAGCCTGTGGTATTCTGTTACAGCAACATGCAAAAGTGGAAAACTTGAGTCACACAGATATGGTGTACCAGGTATGTCAATGAGAGGACCAATGTGTGTGTGTGTGTGTGTGTGTGTGTGTGTGTGTGTGTGTGTGTGTGTGTGTGTGTGTGTGTGTATAAGCACTGGAGATGAGGACCAGAGCCTCATACAAGCTAGGAAAGTTCTCTGTACTCAGACAGCTTTTATTTTTTTTTGACAGTTGTAAAGCTTGAACTCAGGGCCTGAGTGCTGTCCCTGAGCTCTTTTGCTCAAGGCTAGAACTCCACTACTTTGAGCCATAGTGCCACTTCCAGTTTTTGAGTGGCTAATTGGAGGTAAGAGTCTCATAGGGATTTTTCTGCCTGGGCTGGCTTTGAACCGTGTTCCTCATATCTCAGCCTTCAGGGTAGCTAGGATTATAGGTGTGAGCCACTGGTGCCCAGGTTCACACAGACTTTTTAAACTGATGATACTGAGACAGCTGTATATGCACAAGACAGGAAGGTATCTTCACCTTTATCTCATGCCATATGTACAAATGTCAGGGTGGATCCTAGCTCTAAAGGAAAAGCCAACAGAACACAAAGCCATTCTAGGAAGGAAGGTGCACGATGAAAAGGTGTGTGTGTGTGTGTGTGTGTGTGTGTGTGTGTGTGTGTGTGTGTGTGTGTGTGTGTGTGTGTGTGTGTGTGTGTGTGTGTGTGTGTGTGTGTATTCTGTCCTAAGTATCTGCTCAGAACAATTCTATGCTAACATACAGTTTAAGGTATACTGAATCAAAATGCAGGTAACCATCACAACTGCCACCCGGAAATGATCAAACCCTCATTTCCTTTGTGCGTGCATAGGAGAGAAAAACTCAATAAATAACTGAATTATGCTCATGTCCTGTGACATGTAACCTGGACACGGGGGCTACTGCAGCCAGTGTCTCCCACAGCATCCCCTAGACTGTACCAAACTTCTACGCCTTAGCTTTGCAGTCTGACTTTATTTTTTGTTATTTCTGTCCAGGTGGGTGTTTGGACTGCTATCCACCTATTTTAGGCTTCCTGTCACAGTTGGGATGATACATGTGTTTCTTTTTGTCATTAATTTCTTTTATAACAGATGCTACATCCAGACAGAGCATGTCTAAATGGCTTTGTTTCCCACCCGCCACCCCCCAAAAGAAGTTAGGAGACACTATATCCAACTCCCCTTTTCTTGAATTGGGAGTCTCGAGGATTTCTCTGCCCTGGCTTGCCTTAAAGCTTGATCCTCCCATTTTCAGCCTCTTATGTAGCTAGGGTTATGGACATGAGCCGCTGACACTCAGCCTACTTTGGAAAGTTTTTAACATAGTCTAAGTTACATGTCCAGAATTGTATATAAATGCAAACCAGTGTCACTGCACATTGAATGGCAGAAGTCCCTGTGGATACTGCCTATGTATCTGTTAGCAGAGCACGTGTGTGTGTGTGTGTGTGTGTGTGTGTGTGTGTGTGTGCATGCATGCACACACAAGTGTATATGTTTGGGGGGCTCCTATGAATGCAGTGGTGAATGGGGCTGATGCCTACATACAGGTGAATGGCTTTGATATTTGGATGTGAGCTTGTGTTTGCCCATGCGCATGTACCTGGCATGGTGGTACTGGCCAGGCTTGTGGTGTACGGCTGCTCAGATAGGAGCATGTGTGTGTGTTGGCAGGACACTGTGTCCTTGGCAGGAACCCAGCCCCAGGAGGTAGAAGCCGGAAGACGGCAGAGTGGCACAGTGCTACAGGAAACGGGGCCGAGCTGGAAGACCCCGCCCCCCCCCCCTCCCGGCCCTGGCAGCAAGGCTACTTCCCTCTGAGCCTCCTTCCTGCCCCATCCCAAGCCTGTGCACCCCACCATGGGGGATCAGGAAGCCTTTTCCTGCCATGAATATGTGCGGCAGAGGCAGCAGCCCTGCTGGGCAGTCCCATTGCCCGTGTGGGGAGTGAAAATCACTGCGCCCCTCCATGGTCAGCCCATGCCAAAGCCTTAATCAAAGCCATATTTGCCTGGCAAAATCTGCATCCTCAGAAGGGTTCCGCGCTATGAAGGCAGATTCGGATTCCCTTAGCATCCCAGCTGTCTGACAACCACAACTCCCCAATGATTTGTCTTCCTTCTTGGGGGTTCCTTCCGCCCCTTCCCCTGTCTTGCAGGGGGATTAAACACACTTGCACAGGACCGAGGTCAAAATGAAGGTACTTTCAACTCTAATTTCCTGAGATGCTCCATGACTTCTTTACGCAGAGATGAAAAAAATCACATATCATAAAATGAACTAATCTAACACAAACCATCCTCCCATGGCGTTTAGAATAGTCTCCATATGGTGCAAAAAGTCAGTGTTATTTTGTGATGGCAGCTTCATCAGACAAATATACACCCTTACCCAGTTATTTCCCATGTCCCTCTCCTCTGGGCTCTGGTAACCGTCCTGTCCCTATGGCTTTACTTACTCTGGATTTTTCATATAAATTATATACTACGTGACTAAAACAAAAATCCATGAGACTCTGATCTCTAATTAGCTACCAAAAGGCAGAAGTGGAGCTGCGACTCAAGTGGTAGAGTTGGAAGCTTTGAGCAACAAAGCTAAGGGACAGTGCCCAGGCCCTGAGTTCAAGCCCTAGTACCAGTGCATGGGGACATGTGTGCGTGCACACGCGCGCGTGCAAACATACACACACATTCACAGACAATCCCCTCAGACCTAGTTTCTTCCCAGCCTGCTCTCTGAGAAAGAGGAACAGGGGTGTATATCCAGAGTCAGGGCACAGTGCCAGGGTGGGGCGGGGGGGGGCGGGTTCTGGAAGCTTCTAGCACCTAGTAGGAGGCCTGGATGCCTAGAGAGCTGACAAGGAGAAGGTGCTTTTCTGGACTGTGGCTGTCCAAGCCCTGAGCCACAACCCCTGGCTACCTGTCTTGAACAAGGGTCTCCAACTTTGAACCACAGAGGCATCTTATGTCATGAGTTCCCTCCAGCTACAAGTCACTAAGTCACACATGGACGCCATCTTGAGCCAGGCGTTGGGAGACTCACCAGCCAAGAGGAGTGATGGGTGAATGAGGAGCCCCATCCACCTTCTCCACATCCCCTGATCCTCCCAAGTATCCTCGCTCTCCTCCCAACTCACCCTTCCTCCTGTGCAGCCAGGGAGTTCTGGGAGAGTTTGGCCAAGTTCTTTGCATATTCCTCTTCAATCTTTATCCTGCAAAGGGAGAAAACCCAACATGTCAGCTCCCTGATAGATGGACGGGACCTGCCATCTTGCTATGTGTCAGCTGTATAAGGGAACATAACACACCTACTAGACTGTGGGGTTTGGAGAGGGCCTGGTCTCATCTCTCTGCCCAGCACACAGTGGGGCTTCATATTGACTCAGTGGAACTTATTTCTTCATCTGAACAACAAGAGTTCTCTTGTCCCTAGGACTGTGAAGATGTAATATGCTGCTCACACTGCATGTAGCCCATGGCTGAACACATGAGAACCTGTACACAAATGACTGCAACTTGTGATGGGCCATCAGGGGCAAGCTGTGTGTTCCCCCTTTTGTTCTTGCCCCCAAACCTAAGTTCAGGCCCTCCCTGATGGCTATTGGTCCCTTGGAAACAAGAACAGAGGATCTCTCCAGGGCCTCCAACCCCCAATGTCTCTAATTGCCAGGAACTGTCAAGGGCACATGTGTTTCCATGGAAACCAGACAGGGTCCAGAGATGCAGCTCCATTCTATTTCCCTGGAGAGGAGAGCACTTGACACAAGTTTAAGGCTAGCCTCCAGGACGTGTGTGCCAAGTATGGGGTGTCAAAGGCATCAGGTACTACCTAAGTACTCCTTTGGGCCCAGGTGGGGGCAGAGGGGCTGTGTTGATGACCACCAGAGGTAGCCACAGAGCTGGGACCCCCACAGCACACAGAGCTGGGACCCCCACAGCCCCTCTGTGCTTTCTGGTGGTGATCAGAAAAGCCCAGAGACCCTGAGCAGCAATACTGGCTTCCTGACTGCTTAGGGAGCTGGCCTTGAGAGGGTGTGGTGAGGGGATGGATAACAAGTCTAGTGGGCCCATTTTGTGTAATGATAATGGCATAATTAGGCACAGACATTCATGATCTGTTACCGCTCACCCTGCTCAGTCCTAACCTCCATCTCTGGCTACTCTATCAAGCCTTCCAAGTCTCATACTCATTTAGTTCCCATTCTTCTCTCACCCCTGTGGCTTCCTCTCCACCTTCCCTCACCAGGATTTATGAGGATTGCTAGCTGCAACTTCATACTGTGACTGAAACCTCTGGAAGCCAGATCTTGCCATGTCGCTATGGCGATTGCACACACTGGCACAGGAGGGGCTGGTGCCATTTGCCTCCTCAGCCTCCCGTGGGTGGCCAGCCCGCATCTCTTCCATCTCCTGCCCCTCCCTGAGCCCAGGCAGCATGACTGCATCCTTGGTCAGTTACACTACAATTTATATACTCCTAGACGCTCACCAATCCTGGGCTTGGAGGCCCTTCCCATGAGACTCCAGGGTGCGCTGAGAAAAGTTCCAGGAATCTGCATTTCCTCTGAGAGGGCCTGAGTGTCCTAAAATAGCAGCTCCCAGGCACTGGCTAACCCAACATTGGTAAGAGCACAGAGCCGGGTGCTGGTGGCTCACATCTGTAAGCCTAGCTACTCAGGAGATTGAGGATTGCGGTTCAAAGCCAGCCTAGGCAGGAAAAATCGTGAGAGTCTTCTCTCTAATTAACTGCTAAAAAAAAAAAAAAGCCAGAAATGGAGCTATGGCTCAAGTGAAAGAATACTAGCCTTGAATGAAAAAGTGAAGTGAACTCAAACCCTGAGTTCAAGCCCCAGGACCTACACACACACACACACACACACACACACACACACACACACACACACACACACACACACGAAAAATCTGTGAAAAAGATGTTGCCATTTGCTGTAACTAGTTGTAACTATGTCCAGTATACCTGGGACACTAGCTTTTGGCAAGTTGTGAGCAACACACATGCAGGTGTGTGAGTTTGTGACACAGAAGGAAGAGGACGGAGAAAGGACTTCCTTCTGTAGCTCCCTTTGTTTTCACTAGGCTGGATTTGTGTTTTCCTCATCTGTCTTTAGATAAACCCGTGAAGATCAGAATGAGGTTATGGGGATACTTCTCTCCCCAGCAACTCACATGAAGCTGAGTTACAAGGTAACATTCCCCTGTGGGGTTTATGGTCAGAGGCCTAGGCGGGGTCTGAGGGGCCTTAGAGGGCTTGGGCATCACCTTTCCCGGATGAACTCTGACATCTCCTTCTGCATCTGTTTCCCTTTCAGTTGCTTCTGGAGCAGCAGTTCAAATCCAGCCACAGTGCCATTGCCTTGGGGGTCCTTCTTATCAGCCTAGAAGGAAATGGAAGCAGAAGTGATCAGCCACGGGAGTGTCTGGAGCTGGGAGAACAGAGTGCAGAGGATGCAGATTTACCAGCCACCCGGCTCCCAGCTGGTAAAGGATGGCTAGAGCACCTAACTCCATGGTCTCACCTGGGGCTCCAGCTCCCATGTACTGGGTCTTAGTCCTGGGCTCCGGAAGCCACAAGCCAGATAAACCCTCTGTTCTCCATAGATGGCGCAGCCTCAAGTGCTCGGCTACAATAGCACAGGGCGGAGTGAGACCTGCGCGTACCTCTCCCAGTCTCCATGAGCCTGCACAGCCCAGGTGAAACCACATCACCTCGGATTTCCTCCCAAAGCTCTGTTCCTCCCTATTGCAAACAGCTTAAGCCCCCAGATCCTGCAAAGTCATATGCATTGCCAGCCCTGCTCACTGTCCCCTTGTTGCCCTCTCCAGCCCTGTCTGCACTCCATGCCCTATGAATAGTTACACAGTGGGAGGGACTTGGGTGGGCCCTAGTGGTGGTGGGGCACTAAGCATCTTTGGGTGTCTTCTAATGTGGAAGCAATTGGTAGAAAAGAAAGACACACTTCTGCCTATTTTCCACATAAGGTCTTCTGTTTTTACCTGGGCTTGATCTTGGACCACAAGCCTCCTACCAATGTATCCTAGGTTGCTGGGATTGTAGAAATACGACACAACACCAAGCTCGCGGTTTCACTAACTTTTTTTTTTCCTTTGTCCAGGATGACTTTGAACCATGATCCTCCTGCGGTCTGCCCTCCTAAGTAGCTGAAATTATAGTCATGCACTACCATGCCCAGCTCTGTAGTTTTTCATTATCACTCTATGATTCAGAACAGGGGGACTCTACCTCCAGGTGTCAGCAAGAAAGACCTCCCTCCACCATAGTCTCTCCCAGATGTGCACTTCTGACCATCGGGACCCTGAGGAGGGGGAACCTGACATAGCACCTACCCAAAAGTAGTCACAATAGCTCCACTCTGTTGGCTTCAGCAGCTGCTGTTCAGGCATGGTGTCTGGATGAGGGAACGTCACACAGTTGACCTGCAAGGCAAGCAGCAGAGAGGAAATACTTTTCCTGGAGGAATAGAAATGAAAAACAGAGTACAAGAGAGGTTTGCTTGTGTCCAGCCTCGTGAGATATGCTCTAAAGACCAGCGTTGCAAATTGGGGGCCATAGGCATTCACAACTCACTTGACCCCCTAGAAGGGGGCTCTGTCACAATTGCAAACATCTGGATTCTTGACTCAGCAAGTGCACTGTATGTGTGTGTGTGTGTGTGTGTGTGTGTGTGTGTGTGTGTGTGTTGTGTGTGTGTGTGTGTGTGTGTGTGTGTGTGCCAGTCTTGCTGCTTGAACTTAGGGTCTGGGCTCTTTCCCTGAGCTTTTGTGCTCGAGGCCAGTACTCTACTACTTTGCATCACAGAGCCATTTCCAGCTTTTTGGTGGTTAATTGGAGATAAGAGTCTTATGGACTTTCCTGCCCTGGCTGGCTTTGAACCTTGATCCTCAGATCTCAGCCTCCTGAGTAGCTAGGATTATAATTGTGAGTACCCCATACCTGGCTTTCAGCAGCTGCACTTCTAAAAGCCTATACTAGAGATATAGTTGCTCCAAAGTGTAGGGACATGTGTACATGTCCGCACTACAGAAATATTATGCTACAGCAATATTATGTCAGCCAAAGGCTGGACCAGGACCCCACTTTCTGTGAAGAGAATGGATAGACAAAAATGAGACAGACGTCTACATGCTAGGTAGGAGCCCTACCCCTTGAGCCACACTTCTGGCTGATTTTGTTCTATTTTTCAAGCAGGGTCTTGCTTTTTGCATGGACAGGCTTGGACCATGATCCTCCAATTTATACTTCCCTCATATCTGGGATGACAGGCATATGCACCACACCCAGTTTTTCCCATTGACATAGGGATCTCATGAAATTTTTTGCCTGGGCTTGTTTTGAATCATGATCTCCCTGATCTGAGCCTCCAAAATTGCCAGAACTACAGGTGTGAGCTGCTTCATCAGGCTACAGATGCACTTCTTTTTTTAAATTCATTTATTTTTTGTGTGTTGGTCATGGGGCTTGAACTCTGGGCCTGAGCGCTGTCCCTCAGCTCTTCAGCTCAAGGCTAGTGCTCTACCACTTGAGCTACAGCACCACTTCTGGTTTTCTGGTGGTTTATTGGAAATAAGAGTTTCATGGCCTTTCCTGCCCGGGCTGGCTTTGAACTGTGATCCTCAGATCTCAGCCTCCTGAGTAGCTAGGATTACAGGCCACCGGGAACCACTGGTGCCCAGCTTACAGATGTATCTCTTAACCATTGATATATCAGGATGAACTGTTAAGAAGGTGGGGAAAGGGGGAGGGGGAAGAAAGGCACTGAGTACAATTATTAGAGTATGTTTCATTTGTATACATAAAGTAGGACTAAATACACATCCATTTGATTTTTTTTTCTGTATAGAATATTTCTGGAAGCTGATGGCCTGATTTGTTCCCAAGATGATGAACAACAGAATCAGGGATAGGAATGATCCAGAGGTGGATGAAGATCACAGCCAAGAGGTTATGTCACGATCCATATTAAGATCCACATTATGTGAACTACAACAGCTTAACAATCATAGTGAAGTCCCATACTTGGGGCTGGCCCTTGCCAAAAGAGAGTGCTAAGTAGCCTTTGTCATGTTTTGCACTAGCCTATTTGAGGTGCTCCTGGCTGTCGGTGCAGCATGGAAGTAGATTCAAAGCCCAGATGTTCCTGTAACCTCTCCTTGCAGCCTGAAAACTGGCTGAACCAAGGAGATGTCAGATGGGAGAGGGCAGAGCTGAGGTCTGCAGAGATTTTTTCCCCCCAGGGGTACACTCACCCACTTAAATCACTTGTAGTCACTTGAGACCAGCTAAAAGCTGGGTTTTTAATGTAAACTCTCTCAGTATTTTCAGTGTTGGTAATTAATTAAAGGTTTCACAGAATAGTAAAGGTAATAATAATAATAAACCAACAAAGCTCCCAGCAAACTCCTCTGTCTGCTGAATCAAGCCCAAAGGGCTTTGGATGTGATCTCTGATTAAGGGTTCAAGGTTGGCTGAAAGTCTGCATGGCTTCTTCCTGTGGCCTCCTCCTGGTACTCCGCCATTCCAGGGAGCCCGGCCTGCAGTGGCCTGTGGGAGGGAGCTTCTCACTGTAGCCTCAGGAAAGGGCTTGCTTGGGGGCAATCATAGAAACAAGGGATGTTTTCTGGGCTTTCGTATATCCCTTATTTCCTATTCCATCCACTCCTGTCACAACCAGTAATGGTGATCACAGATCATCTTTACTTGGCTCTCATCATGGAAGCTCATGGAAACTGCAATCAAATTTAATGCTACAAGAACTTTGATCTTGAAGTATATTGACTGACGGGGCATAGAGGTGCGTGCCTATAATCCAAGCTCTTGGGAAGCTGAGGTAGAAGGTCATGAGCTCAAAAGCTTGGACTACATAGCAAGGTTCAGGCCAGCAAAAGGAGACACTATTTCAACCTCTCTCCCTCCAAAAAAAAAAAAAGGAACATAAAAATAGCAGAACGAAAGTACAGTTTATCCCTCAATGTGAGGCAGGGAGGGGTTCCAGGACTCGGCAGATAGCAAACTTCTTGGATGTTCAACTTCCTTAGATGAAACGATCCTGTTTGCATAGAACCTACACAGCCATTTCTAAATGTGTGTGTGTGTGTGTGTGTGTGTGTGTGTGTGTATCTGGGGGCTTGAACTAAGGCCCTGGGCTTTAGGTTTTTCACTCAAGGATGACTCTCTACCATTTGAACCATATCATCATTCTAGATTTTTGGTGTTTGACTGGAATAAGAGTCTCAGGGAGTTTTCTGTCCAAGCTGGCTTCAAACCAGGATCCTTAGATCTCAGCCTCTTGAGTAGTTAGGACTATAGGCATGTGCATCTGGCACCTGGCTCATTTCTAGTCTTCTTATACCTAACACAATGTAGACACTATCCACATACCTGTTATATTGCTTAGGGAATAACAAGAAGTCTGTGCATGCTCAGTACAGCTACAATTTAAGAAAATGATTCCAATGTTCAATGGCTGAACACAGGCACAGAATCTGAGAATGCAGTGCTGACTGCTCAGAAACAGGTTATTATGGCCTCCTAAGATGCCTCATGCTCTACCCTTCCCTCTCTTCAGCCATTTTTTCCCCTCACTCAGAATTTCCATGGCCTTGGTCTTTCATGGGTAAAACATCTTCTCATAGAGGAAGAGCCTGACCATGAGAGGTGGTGACCTGTCCTCAGAGAATGGATACATCTGCCCAGCCTAGCATGTCCTGGAAGATAGACCCCTCTAACTTCAGGAGAGACGGCACCAGGCAAACAGCAGGGACCCTCCTAAATCCCACCTGGCCTGTCCTCTGTCCTGAAGTTGGGCTGATATGGGCCTTGGAGTCACTTGGAGGGTATGTGAAGCACTCTGGATGGTTCAGGAGGTCTGGATGGAGCCAGGGCTCCCAGGAGATTCTGGGGATCCAGGAACCATGCAGTGGGGACAGGGTACCACCTGAAGAAGGCTTAATGTCCAATAGAGCCCCAGAGCTCTGCTCTTAAGCTCCTGCATGACCTTCCAAGAGATCCCTGTCTCAGGGACTTCCAGTCCCTGGATAGGGTCCCTGGAGTGGCCCTGCTGCCCTACCTAAGGAGAGCTGGCTAGACAGGAGGGGAATTAGATGGCCTAGACAGCCCCTACCCCCCCCCTCCCCCCCAGGTGACAGTCACCACCTCGGTCAACTCTGGTTTTGGGGATTTCTTGCTGGCACATAGCCCAAAGGGATGTCCTGGAATTGAAACTCTCTGCCCCCTGGCGGGAATGTGGAGAACTGCACCTCACTGATGGGTTCCTGGAGAGCACTTCTTCAGGGTCCATGGCCCTGAGCTTGGCATGCACGCTTAGGATAGGCTGAAAATCTCAGCCTCATTTGATATGAGGAAAGATCACAGAAGTAGAGTATTTAAATCCAGATCAGGCTAACAGCAAAGCTAGGCCCTCAACCCCAAGGCAGGGGGCTCAGTGTTCAGCGGAAAACAAGAGAGGGGCCTGTTGGGGTAGAGGAGTTCTGGCCACTCCTGCCCTCTCTTCCCTGAGCTCCCGAGACTCAGGATCATGCAGAGAGACATGTACCCTGCCCCTTCTGGGGTACCCAGCATGCAGAGGATGCTCTATCAGGCCAATTCTATACAGGAGTAGCCAAGACCACAGGAGATACTCCCCCTACATTTTGGGGTACCAAGGGCATAGATGGATGCAGGCAGTGAGGTACGCATCCATGGTGTTAGAGCTACTGAACCCCTCCAGAGGGGCTGATGTGGGGAGATAGGGTGCCCTGCTCCTGTTCTAGCCCAGCCCAGAGTGGGCTTAGGGGTGGGGGTGGGGTAGTCTCCTCTGCCACTTGTCTGTGCTACCTGCTTGCAATGTGGAGCCTGGTTTGACAACCCAGTGGTCCTGGATCTTCCTCCTGGTTCAGGAGGGTGGGTGAGAGGAAAAGCTAGCAAGTTGGGGGTGGGGACAGAAGAAAGAACTGTCTCATTTCATCCTGTGCCCAGCTCGACCCAGGGTGCCCTGCCGGAGGATCTGAAGGATCCCCAAGTTCCCCCTTCTAGGAGGGAGTGTGGGCATGTAGCTTTACTGTCATCTTTCCTGGAGTCTTCTAGATGCTGAGGGCAATGAGTGGCCATTAGCACCCGTCACTCTCAATCAAACAAGCCAGCTCCATCTGCCAGCCTGGCTCAGCACCGGTAATGACAGCCAGGGAAGAGAGCCAGCCAAAGCTGCCAACGCTGCCCCTGCTGCCAGGACACCCATGTGTCTGCCCTCCCAAACCAGTTCCAGGCCACAAAGCTTCAGAACTGAGCCCTCTCCCCACTCCTCAGTGTAGACACAGCCCCGTGCTGTTCAGGTCTGGACGCGTGTGCGCGTGGACCAGATACAGTCGGAAGTTGTATGCTTCATCTCCCCAGGGAGATGGAAGCTCGTATTCCTGTCTCTTGGGAACAGGCTGCCCCCTCTTCCTGAGGAAACCCTGAGCTCTGGAGGATCTGAATCCAGAACCAGGGCTTAGGTGACAGGAAAGTGGGGGGAGGCTGGGGAGAGGGAAGAGCAGTGGTACAGAAATCTTTAGCCTGGAGACGTACGGGGCCATGGAGGCCAGGTATCCTGGCCTGGCAGCTGGAAGGAGACTCGAGTTCAAGTGCTCCTGGTTTGCTCTGTGATCTACAACCGGTCCCTCTTTTTTGCTCAGTTTCCCTGGCAACAATTTTCCAAGGCACAAGTGTTTATTTTCAGACTGCTAGAAGCATTTGGTGAAAATGCAAATTTTTATATTCTATTCCCAGAAAGACTGAATTGTAGCTATCTTTCAGGAATCTGTATTCTTTATTACATTTGATTTGATTTGATATCTTTTATTTGGGCAGTACTGGAGTTTGTGCTTGCTAGATAAGTACTCTATGATTTGAGCAATGCCTCCTACCCTTTCCGCTTTAGATGTTTTTCAGAGAGAGTCTTACACTTTTGCCTGTGACCAGCCTTGGACCTTGATCCTCCTACCTCTGTCTCTGGGATTACAGGCAAGTATCACCACAGTTCTACCTACGTTTTAAAACCAGTGTCTTGGAATATCAACCTCACGTTGCAGACATCTCAAGAGGAGCAGAAAACGGAACAGGAAAGGCACCAAGGTGAGAACAAGACTTGCTGTTCCAAGGAAAACTTCATTTTTCCTGTTTGTCTCTCTTCTACATTGCTAATAAGTATATCATTCTTCCATTCTTCTCGTTGGGGACTTTTCTTTTCCTTGCAGTATTAGTGTTTGGACTCAAGGCTTCAGCCATACCTCCAATCCACTTTTGCTCGGTTACTTTTTACTTTTTCTTTTTTCTCCCTTCCTTCCTTCCTTCCTTCCTTCCTTCCTTCCTTCCTTCCTTCCTTCTTTCCCTCCCTCCCTCCCTCTTTCTTTCTTTCATTCATTCATTCTTTCTTTCTCTCTTTCTTCCTTCCTTCCTTCCTTCCTTCCTTCCTTCCTTCCTTCCTTCCTTCCTTCCTTCCTTTCTTTCTTTCTTTTGCGGGTCCTGGACCTTGAACTTGGCCTAGGTGCTCCTTTTATGCTACCACTTGAGCTACAGCACCACTTCCAGCTTTTTCTGTGATTAATTGAAGAGTTTCAAGGACTTTCCTGCCCAGGCTGGCTTAGAACCTCTATCCTCAGATCTTAGCTCCTGAGTAGCTACAATTACAGGTGTGAGCTACTAGTGTCAGGCATTTAAGATAACATGGTCTCCCCCCCCCCTCCTCCCCCCCTCCCCCCTGCCCGGGCCAGTCTGGACCTAGATCCTCCTATTTAAGTTTCTTGCTGTAGCTACGGGTGATAGGTACATGCTACCATGCCCACCTACTGGTTGACATAGTGGGGGGTGTCTTAAGAACTTTGGTCTGGGCTGCCCTCAATCAGAATTCCTTTTGATCTCTGTCTCTTGAGTAGTTAGGATTATAAGCACAAGCCGTTGAAACCCAGCCAGAGCTTAGGTTTTGATCCTGATGCTTCTTGGTTGGGTGACCTTGGCACAGTACTGTTCTGTGCCTCAGTTTCTTGGTCGGCAAACAGGGTGAGAATCACTCTGGCAGGCATCCAGCACTTCCTATGTGCTAGGCTCTATTCTAAGTGCTTTACCCACACAGAGCCATTGGGTCCTCACCCATCCCCTCCTCACAGGAGCTACCCCCACCCACTCTCCATTTCACAGATGTGGACAGTGAGGCAGGCAAAGCGGAGGCACTGGACCCAAAGGTTGAGCAGCTCAGCAGTTCCCTGCCACATTCTAGCCTCAGAAACCAGACAAGCAACCCTGGTACTGTATTGATCCTAGTAACACCTGACCCACCAGGGGGCAAAGGGAGCCACATGGACCTCTGCTTGTAGAAGAGAGAGGCACCCAGCGGTGCTGGCTGTTGTTAGTCTTTGTCTCTTGTTCCCACACAGAGGGATAGTCAGCTTGGATGAGCCAGGGAAAGGCACCTGCTCCTGATTTAATGTCCATGGAGGTGGCTGGAAGGGCTCAGCATGGTAGGAGATGGAGTCCAGGATATTTCCCCACTGTAGAATCATGGACATTCCCTGTCCAACTCTCCCATGCTTGGGCAGACATAGCAAACCCAGGACTCTACTTCTTAAGTCTAAATGTTGGGTGATGGACAGTTCCTTCCTCTAAGAGGAGGGGGCATTGATGGCCAGCCCCCACCCTGAGTCTAGCAGAGGGCTGAGAGAGGAGCGGGTGTGTGTGTGTGTGTGTGTGTGTGTGTGTGTGTGCTGGCTTCTTTGTGGACTGGTGGCTCTAAGCAGGAGCTGACTGCATCTCACTGGGAACTCCCAGGAACTCTATTCTTAGGGTGCCATCTCTTGCTTTTTAACTTTGACAGCTTCCAGAAGTTTCCCCCGCACAAAAGCAACCCTGCCGTGTTGTAATTTACACGTCACCTCACTTGCGCACAGCACGGTCCACCTTCTTCAACCCGCTCTGATACATGTGCCTTCCCCTGCCCGCCCGACAAAAATGGCTTCCACCGCCAGCCCCCCTTCCCCACAGTTATTTCTTCAAGGAGGATGTGGAGGGAGGTGAAATGAGAAAGAGACCGGGAGGGAGAAGGAGAGGGAGAGGGAGGGGCTGGGGAACTTCAGTCACATCTAAGCTTTGCACCTTTCCCATTTCCAGGCTGGGCATCCTTTCTGCTTGGTGGCCCATGTTACCATGGCAACGGTCCAGCCGTAGCCCCAGTTTGCCCCAATTTGCCACCCAACCTTGGGAGCATCCCCTGTAAGGTACTTACAGTGATGGTGTTTTCCTTACTGTGCTTTTTGCCTGGTGATGAGGAGCCCAGGTTCTGGAGAGAGAGGTGAGAAATATCATCGAAGCTGTTCTCCATATTGGATATGCATGTATTTATGTCCCCCTCCCTCCATTCAGGTTCCCCCAAGTCGGGAGGGATTAGTGAAAATCTCTGCACTGAGGGCAGGGTGGGTGGGTAGGGAGGATGTGGCGAGGAGTTCGGGGACCTCCGCTTGTCAACTCCTAAGTCACCATATCCTGGAGCAGGACAAGCAAGAGCATCCCTGAGCCCCCTCTGCTCCCTCGCTCGGCAGAGTGGAGGAAGGTTTGTGCTCTCAGAGAATTGCTCCAAACCAGGTCTCTCCCTCCTCTTCTCTCGGTCTATGATTTGGGGAGTTAACCCCTCCACTGCCCTCTGCTGGTGAACAGTTCTGTGGCTCATTGCCTGTGCTACGGGATCCACAGGGGAGTTGAAGAGTTAAGGCTGACTGCAGGTCACTGCCTCCTGGCACTGAGGACTCAACACATGCCCATCTTATTCTGAACCCTCCAAGTCCAAAATATCAAATCACAGAGAGCATGCTTAAGGCACTGCTCTATCAGCCCCTGGAGCCAAAGCAAGCGTCGGACTCCACATCTCCGGATGTTTTCCCCCCTGTCTTGTTTTGTTGGTAGCAAGAGAATCAGGGTCCCCGAAGAGGGCCGTGGCTCATACATGTAAGTCCTCGCTTCTCAGGAGGCTGAGATCTGAAGATCTTGGTTCAAAGCCAGACCAGGCTAGAAAGTCTGTGAGCCTTATCTCCAATGAACCAGCAAACAGCCAGAAGTGTAGATATGGCTCAAAGGGTAGAGTGCCAGCCTTGAGTGAAAAAGCTAAGGGGCAGTGCCAAGGCCCTGAGTTCAAGTCCCAGTACTAGTACAAAAAGAGACAAGAGAGAGCTACAGAAAGCCAGAATCCTAACTAACTTGAAGCCCACTTGTTCACAGATGCTAAAAGTCTTAAGGTTGAACAGGTGGAGAAATGCAAGGATAAGCCAGCTGAAATGACCACATCTTAAAGACAAGGTTTGGTTCCAACCTACACTGGTCAATTAGCAGTTCTGTTCAAGAGTCAATAACAGAGGTCCCGGGTCCTGAGCCACACACGGACCCCTAAAGCATCAGGGGTAACTGTCGCATGTGTTTTGGACCTGTCACTGCACTGAAGTGTAAGCAAGTAGCTGTCACTTTATAAAGACCGGAAGAAGTAGGAAGGGGCTTCCCCCATGAACTTCAGGAGACCAGCAGCCCCTCACCCCTGCCCCAGGCCAACACAGGCCTGGACCACCAGGCAGGTTGAATAGCAGCAGAGGGGACAGCCCCCAACCCCTCCAGAAAATGAAGCAAAACAGTTTGAGTCAATCCCTTCCAGTCTTCCTGCATCTGGTAAACATCAACTCATGGAAAAGAATGTCTTTACAAAGCTGAAGGGCCGTCAATGTCACAGACGACAAACTACATAGAGAGCTCTGAAACCCAGGATGCTAACTTGCTGAAGTCTTACTGTCACCATCTATAAATATTGGTATTGGGGCTTGAACTCAGGGCCTAGGCACTGTCCCTGAGCTTTTTCACTCAAAGCTGGTACTCTACCACTTGAGCCTCAGTTCCACTTTTGGCTTTTTTGCTAGTTAACCAGAGATGGCAGTCTCTCATTTTTCTGCCCAGACTGGCTTTGAACTTCAATCCTCAGTTTTCAGCCTCCTGAGTAGCAAGCATTACAGGTATGAGCCATCCGTCCCTGAATATTAAAATCTCCCCTAGTATCTTTTTGTTAAACCAAGGAGCCTCTGCTTGTATCAAATCCTCTGGGCACCCTAGCAGGCTTTGGGGTGACATCAGGCTTGTGGCCCACTGTGGTTTCCGTGGATATGTTTCAAGTAGCAGGGCACCCATCTGACCCCTTTAGTACCCTCCCAGGCTATTAGTTCTCTTCCTTGACACCCGGAGCTTCCCATGCACAAACACTAGTCAAGTGCATACATGGCAGGAAGAAGAGTAGACTCTGTAGCTTGCAGTCTCTCCTGCCATGGACAAACATTTCATTATCAAGGCCATGGTGAGCCTACCCCAGTAGGGGAAGGGACGTGGCTGTGATGGTCAGCACTTGCTGTGGTATTTCAGTTTACATACAGCTGTTGTTTGGATGACAAGGCCGAGGAGGAAGACTACCAAGAATGGAAACACACAGCAAGAGCCCCCATCCATGGAAGGCTGTTGTGTGGCGGGCGGGCACAGGCTGAGCATTTGCCATATTTACTCTCCCTTCATCCCTACAGCCCCAGTAAGGCTCATAGCCTCCTGTCTAGTTTGCAGACTGTGAAACTGATGCTCACAGAAGATACAATGGCCCAAGGTCATAGGCTAGGAAATTGAGGAATGGGATACTGGAGTCTAAGTCTACATACTTCATTCCTCATTTCTCCAAGTTTGAGATCTGGGGTGCTAGCTTGTTTCTCAGGGGTATCTGCAAGAAGGGGACAAAAAAATACTTCCATCACTTATGAGCGTTTGCTTCAGGAAAGCCATGTACAGGATGGTGTATTGAGAGTGGATGGGGAGGTCACACTTCCTCCTGGGCCAGGACAGGAATGCATATCATCCATTGAGTATACCTCCACTCACTCCTCATCTCTGTCCTGGTACATGTGTATTTTGCTTTTCCCTTTTCATTTCCTTCCTTCCCTCCCTCCCTCTCATCTTTTGTTTTTCTTTTTTGCCAGTATAAAGGTTTGACCTCAAGGCCTTGAACTTTCTTGGCTGGCTTGCTCACACCACTCAAGCCATGTCTCGAGTGCAGCATTATGCTAGTTAGCTAGAGACAGAGTAGCAGAGACCTCTCTGCCAAGGTGGGCCTTGAACCTCAATCCTCCAGGACTCAGCTTTCTGAGTAGTTAGGATTACAGGCATGAGCCACCGATACCTGTGTATTGTGATTGCAAGCTCTTCTTGTCTTTGCTGCTGCTGAGTTGTGTGCTATCATCCAACTTCATCTAAGTATATGTGCTTCACATATGTGTACAACCACCCCCCACGCACACACACCCCTACAGTGCTTCTCTGAAAGGACTTAGAAAGAATGACATTCCAGCTCATCACAGTGATATTTACTAACTACATTTTTTCTTCCCCAAATACTATTCCCTCCTAATAGGAACTCAGGCCTTGGCTCCTTGGAAAATGACTAATTCCAATCCACTGTAGACCTAGGACATCTTATTTCACCGGAAGGAAGGAAACATGCAAGAAGGGATGACAATATACTGTAAGGAAGCAGAAGCCAGCTCTTAAAGGAGCTCCTGCAGGTCACATTTGGGACAATCGGAGCAACAGGATGAGTAAGGACCATGACTGAACAGATCTAAAGGGGGAACATTTCATCTCAGGAGATGCCAACAACAACACAATGTACCAGGAATTAGAAATTTGCCATGTGGAAGCTCCAATGTCAAGAGGAATCTGGGCTAAAATCACCACCGATGTTTGAAGTATCGAAGGGAAAACGGTTAGGAAAGAGGAATGATTCATAGTATCTCGCTGGTACCCTGAAGAGCACCAACAAATCAGAGCCCGGCAAAGAGAAATCCAGCAATAGCCATGCTGACCAAGAGCTCAAATTTAGCCCTTTGGTGGGATGCAAAACTGGTGTACACTTTCTTACGATCAGGAGATGTGTTAAGAACCACCTCCAAAAGACCCATACAGAGATCTCACCAAACCACCCAGCCTCTACCCAGGCAATCCTACGTGACAAGTAGACCAAGAATGTAGGTCATTCATCCCACAAGACAACTGACCTGCACACTTCAGAAAGTACCTAGATGAAGAGGATTAAAGAGATAACACACACATAAAATCGTCTATTTACAATGGGACATTTCCAAGCCAGAGGAATAAGGGATTGATCTACGCGCTAACCCAGACATCAAAAACAGTGTGAATGGAGCAGCTGGTCACAAAGGACCACACACGGCACAATTTCCTAACATGAAATGTCTAGAAGAAGAAAATCCACCGACAGAGAATAGACTAGCCGGTGCCTGAGGTTTGGGGTGATCCCTTTTGAGAGAGAAAAATGTTCTAAAATTCACTGGGATGATGATTATAAAACTCTATGAACATCATTTTAAAAACCCACCAAACTGTACATGGATTGCATAATATTCTAAGTTATGTCTCATAAAGTTTTTTTTTTGAGACGGGCAGGGTCAGAGAGAAACAGCAGATATCCCAGAGAAAACTGAGGAATTTGAATATTGATATATATATGTATATATTATATATCTATATGTTATAGATCTATACACACATATAGTGATATTATTGATTTTATATTTGATAATGGTGTTTCTCCTTTGATATATTTGTGACAGTTAATCTGTGTGTGTGTGTACATGTGTGAGGTGGGTATGGATGGGTGTGGGTGTACCCATACTGGGGCTTAAACTCAGGGTACGTGGACTTTCTCTTAGCTTTTGCTCTCAAGATTGTTTTTGTTTTTGTTTTTTTTTGGTCGGCCGTGGGGCTTGAACTCAGGACCTAGGCACTGTCCCTCAGCTCTTCAGCTCAAGGCGAGCGCTCTACCACTTGAGCTACAGTGCCACTTCCGGTTTTCTGGTGGTTTATTGGAGATAGGAGTCTCACGGTCTCTCCTGCCCGGGCTGGCTTTGAACCACGATCCTCAGATCTCAGCCTCCTGAGTAGCTAGGATTACAGGCGTGAGCCACCAGCGCCCGGCTTCAAGATTGTTGCTTTACCAATTGAGTCATACCTCCATTTCCAGCTTTTTGCTGGTCAATTGGAAATAAGAGTATCATGGACTTTCTGGCTTGGGCAGGCTTTGAACCACAGTTCTTAGATTTCAGCCTCTTGAGTAGCTGAGGATTACAGGCATGACCCACGACCTTGTTCCTCTATTTTTAAAATCCTCTCCCAGTTTGGTATCTTGATTCTAGCTGGGCAACCTGTCCCCTCTCTCTACCCCCAGGAAGCATTCTTTAGAGGATGGGATCCTAT